AAATCATTTTCCACATATATGCACCCCGTTTGAGATGTGACCATCTTTCTCACAACGGCTTGACACGTTTTGGCTAATACTGAATATTTACCAAGCGCTTTGGAAAGAATTCATTTCGCACATTGATCTAGTCATATTTACGCATGCCAGAGCCGTAACCAGTCCCGAATCCTTTGATGAGAATTCGAAACACGGACCTTCACGGGTATTCTTCTTGTTTGTTTTTGTAATTGTACGCCGTATTCAGTCTTATTTCATACGGTGCGTGTGATATAAGTATCCTTTTAAACACACTGTGATAAAATAGAGTTATTCGTGGTTGCTAAAACATGGAATAACGTAATGTCCTGGCCGGCAGTCAAGTCGACCACCATCAAGCCTTTTATCCCCTGAAGACAACTACTGTGGTGTTGAGGATAGAGCCTCCGTCTGGAGAGCGACAGGTCGGTCGTTCGATTCCTTGGCTGCGTTATATCAAGACGTTTCAATGTGGTTACTGTTAGGGCTGCGCAATATAACCGGTATACCGGTATTTACCGGTTCAGACATGAAGACGATACGTATTGCGATACGCTGATCGAAAACCGGTATTTTGACTTGCATTCGGAAAACGTCGTAACACTCGGAAATCTTCGGATATTTCCTTGTTTCATGTTATCAACACTTTTGTTGTATATTTTGACGATTGTTTGAACACAATAGGTAATTGATAGATTTTATAGAATACAAATCGCCTATGCGTTTCTTTTTGGGATAGTATATATTTAGCATCTGTTAGCCCGTGCCATATCAAACCAGCACAAACCGATGCTTCAATCAATCGTTACTCAGCATTGTTAGGTATCTTTCAAGGAATGATTATTAAATGTATACATGTCACGTACTAATCTTGTTTGTATTCATCCCTTTTATTCGGAATACAATATCTAACAAAATCGATCATATTTCATAATTTCTACACATCTGAAGCATACTGTATCACTCAAACCACGCTGTTCTGATTGTTCTTTTGTCACGGCAAATATTAGCAAATATTTACTTGTACAGTAATTAATCGTTTTACGTTTTTGTCAAATTTTGATTGTCACTGCACCAATATATGTTTTGGCATATGGTTTAATTAGTGTTTGTTTATTGTCGTTCTCAGCAGTGTTCCAGTAATATAACGTAATAATCGAATCTGGACCACTCAATCCTGTGACTGCCATCGATCCCCGCTACTGGGATACGATCATCCCTGTCAGCAAGCCAGGGCCCCGTTTCACAAAGCTCTAGTAAGCCTAAGATCTCGTAACTTTTCTCATAGCATTCGTGCCTCCTATACTGTAACATAGGAGGTACTAATGCTACGAGAAAAGTTACGAGATCTTAGGCTTACGTGAGCGTTGTGAAACGGGGCCCAGGGCTCTTATTCTCGAAACTTTCGTAGCCCTAAGAATTCTTAACATTGATCGTAGCCAATGTGGTGAGAATGGGCTTAAGAAGTTCGTAGGGCTACGAACGTTTCGAGAATAGCTCGCCCCGAACACTTAAACCGGTTAGTGGCCTCTCGCCTCTAACACGGCATAGATTGCTGAAGACAAAACCAATCTTCACGAGTCATTATTGGATGACATTAAATACCTTCGCTGACAAGCAATAACTACAATCAAGAATACTAATGTGTTTTCCTTTCTAACATCTCTCCCTGGACAGATTACCATTAAGCCAATTACAAAACAAATCATTTAATAGTTAGGTGCATGATGGTAAATGGGTTTGTAATGGGCGATTTTCAGTCAATATTCATATCAAAAGCGGAGTTTTATTGGAGTAGTGTACGTAAAGTTTGGATCATGGTTGACGGCGCCTATACATTAAACCATCCAGTTACTCTCATTAGACACGAATGGTCAATATGTTCTGTCGCGTTGTGAATATCGCCGTCAATAAATTATATAACGTTCACGGTAGATAATAATTAGTGATGTTTATCCCTTGAAACTCATTTCACTGGAAATCTCCTTTCTATCAAGTTTCAAAAAGTGAATTCAAGAGTATAAAAACGTTTAACTAGTGAAGGCCGCTCTTACAATAATTGTGAATGGATCGATCGTGCTGATGGAACCGGTTGAACCGGCTATTTAGGAAACACATACTGTTCAAATTAGATGAAACTAATTACAATGTAGAGTGAGTGAGTGTTTTCACAACTCTATATTATCCAGAAACAAATGAAACAAATGTCTAAAATTCAAGTGAAGATATAATATTTTCATGACATTGTATTTATATGATATAGTTAAATAACACACGACTTTACATCACGAGAGCAACGCGGGGATGAATATGCCTAAACAACGAGTGAGTAAGTGAGTATGGTATTACGCCGCTTGTAGCAATATAGTAATGTCACGGCGGGGTACATTGGAAATGGGCTTAACGCATTGTACCCATGTTGGGAATCGAACCCGGGTCTTAGGTGTGACACGCTTTAACCAATAGGCTACCCCGCCGTCCCCTACAAACTCAAACACTGTCGGAATGTTTCTATATAAATCAGAAACATTCCGACACTGTTCTAATTTGTAGGGACGGTGGGGTAGCCCAGTGGTTAAAGCATTCACACCAAAGACCAAGGTATGATTACCCACATGCGTTGTTTATATACAAATCAGACCTAAAAAGATCCGGGTTAGAATTGGTCTTCAGTAGCCCATGCTTGTCGTAAGAGGCGGCTAACGGGATCGGGTGGTCAGGCTCGCTGACTTGGTTGACACATGTCATCGTATATCAATTGCGTAGACCGATGCTCATACTCTTGATCACTGGATCGACTATTCCAGACTCGCTTATTTACAGACTGTCGCCATATAGCTGGAATATTGCTGAGTGCGGTGTGAAACAACAAACAAACAAAACCACAAACACACGGTTCGCAGGCAAATTCACGATTCTGTCTTTCTGTCTGCCCGGTTTTCGATACCGCAGCGAGAAGCTCCTGTCTGTCGTATGGTCCCAGTAGTAAAGGCAAGACACTTTTATGGATGACAACTTCTATATTTAAATTTAAACTACAACGGTATCAGGATCGATAACGAAACGTAGCATTTTTTTTAAAATGGAATAAAGACATATAGAAAATTAATTTGGCTCTACTGTCACTCATCGGCTCATTTGATGTTCTTGGTGTATAAAAACCTGATATTGCATCAGCTCAAAAAGCCTTGTACAATCAAACACCCTTGTGTCGAAATTGGATGTCGAGCCTACAGTTTTCCTCGAAGAAGTCTTCGGTTGTGTCGTGTTTGGAATATTTTGAAGTATATTTACAGGTCCCTTCAAAATGGACACAGCAGTGTTTGACTGTACTGTTTGTTTTAAATTAAAATCTTAGCCTGCATGAATTCATTTTTCTAAAAGAGTTTCATCTTTAACAACAGTCTGATGCATGGTATCAATCCATAAAATCAATCACTTGAATTATTAATACAATCTTTGATTGTCAAGCTCATCGAATTGCGTTTCATCATGTCCCGCCGGCAAAGTGTTTTTTTGCTTTTGATGGATGTTTTTCGAAATCCATGTTTATTGGTGACTGCACATGCAATTCATGCTGCCGTTGTCGTCATTGTCAGGAACCTGGGGCGGTATTCATAAAGCTTCTAAGAATTTTCTTAAGAGTTAAGAATTCTTAAATCCACTAAGAATTCTTAGTTTCCATAACAACGTTCTTAACTTGTAAGAAAAAACTTAGACAAGTAATTTTGTTCTTAGTTTTCTTCTTAACTTTAAGAAACCTCATGACGTCACCTAACCTAGTTAAGAAAATTCTTAGTTATCCAATATGGCGGCTCACGGAAATGCAAACTTTCACACTAGTAAGAACGTTTTTGATATGTACACCGACAGAGAGTTATTACGACGTTATCGTCTTGACAGAGGAGGGATAGAGTTGGTAACAGGCTTGATATCGGATGAAATCGATGCACTTACCTTTAGAAACCGGTCCTTACCAGCCCTATACAAAGTGCTTGTAACATTGAGGTTTTTGGCTACAGGCAAAATGCAGCTTTGCAATGCAGATGACATGGATATTTCACAACCAACAGTAAGTCGGGCTGTAGCGCAGACGTTAGCTCCTCTAAATGCACCTCATATTGTGCAGAGATTCGTTTCGTTTCCATTGTGTCAAAGACAATTAACCGATATCGCGAATGAGTTCGCTCACGTTGCAAACTTCCCAAATGTGGCCGGTGTCATTGATGGGACCTGTTTCGGAGATAGAGTAACCGGATGTTGCGGTCTTCTTGGGGAGTTGTGACCAATGGTCTCCCACTCCTGGGATGGTCAGTGGTCTGACCAGTCTGCTGGAAACGGCTAAAAAGGTTGACGATAGTTTGTCGGCTGCAACCAAGAGTTCTGGCAACGTGGCTGTTGTTTGCTCCGATGTGGGACATACCGACGGCTCTCTCTCGTCTTTTCTGCTGTTAGCCTTGGCATTCTTTTTGTGTACTTTTCTATGCAATAATGTCAGTTCATCTCGCGGATCATCTTGTATATCGTTATTGCATGAAATGCACGTGCAGTCACCAATAAACATCAATTTCGAAAAAAATCCATCAAAAGCCAAAAAACACTGAAGTTGTCGTGTTAGGGTTAATGATTCACATGTTGTGTGTTTGGTGTATCATACTGACCACAGATTTCAAGTATACTTCATGGATTTTCAAAATATTTTCGAAATTATGGGTGTAAAGTTTCTTTTGCACGTCAGTTTAGCTAGAGTGTTGCGGACTGTGGAGTTAAACAAATATTCACACACCCTACAACATCTGGCAGTATTATTAGGAATGTCAACAAAATCTTTCAGACGATTCCTGGTACATTGTATTTTGAGACAGAAAGACTAATTCACAGAATCCCTAATTCCATTTTTGGTGAGAATACCACGAAGTTAAAGAATACAGTGTATGAAAGCTATATACAGTTTGGTCATTAATTGTGTATTTCCGTTTTAGGCGACGCTGTGCCCGCCGCTCCATTACCTGGTAAGTATCCACAGATTCGGGGTGATAGAGGTTGTCCTTCACTGAATGAGTGAATGCGGTTTTTAACCCGCCTTTGGCATTATTCCAGCAACATCACGGCAGGGGACGCTAGAAATGGGCTTCACACAATGTATCCATCTGGGGAATCGAACCCAGGTCTTCGTCGTGACAAACGAACGCTTTAACCACTAGGCTACCCCACCGCCCATAATGAGACAATGGCTCAACACAGTATTCAGTCATTTCACAACGTGCCGGCTTGACGTGGGAGCGAAGCCCGAAGTTATGTGGGATGTAGTTACTACGTGTCTAACCCCCGATCACGGGACTGATAAACCTGAGACATGTAAACCTGGTACCATAATCGGGGTAGACCGGGATTCGAACTCACAGTCCTGGGTTTTGGCGTGTCCAAAGGACACAGAACTGCAATATCCTAGACAACAGGGCAAACTGAGCCAATGTTCTTCAAAGCAAACACCACAGTGTTCGAACTACCACTATCAGCTATTGGTCTGCCTTATGACGATAGACCGATCCAGTCCCGGCCGATAAGCCCCGCCCACTTCGTTTTTGACGTTAGGGGGGACAACCACGGACTAATCACAATGGCGTCACCGCCGGCGAAACGTACGTGATTGCGAATGTTGTTGATGAATTCTGCTTGTTGTACTTTGGTATCCGTCGTTTGTGAATGATATTTTAAAAGGAAAGTTATACGTATTTTATTTTCAATATATTTAAGTTGACAGGTTGTATAATTGGCGAATGAAAAAGTAGTTAGATCTACATGCCCGATGAAAAATCGTCTGAGCCAGCTGCTGAGATTGGGAAGCGTATTTTCTACCAAATAATCTATCCGGCAATTCACGTTCGTCTAAGATATTTGCAGGGGAAAGGTAACTGAATTATGTTTGTTGTTTTTTCTCAAAAATTCCCATCGTAATATTATAAAAACCGTGAACACAACCACATGTTCAAGTTGCAGATCGTTTCGGTATCTATAAAAAGATTGTCAAAACTGCGCGTGCCACCTTTATTTATTTATCCGTTGTTCAAATTTAGTTAAATTAGAAGTTTGAGAAAACATGGTTTTCTACCTTTCAAGGAACAACGCAGGAAAACAGTATCCCGTCTACTACTTCGTCCACCTTGTTTGTCTGTATATATTATCTGGAAAACGTTACTGGACCTGTTAACACAGTATGTTTTCATGGATGTATCTGGACATACCCAGAAGCAAATATTCAGCAGCTAATCTGTAGCTATTCTCAGTAAAATTTCTCTCTTCAAAATCTGTACACCATCCTAAAGTGACACTGAATATAAGGAAAGTAATTTTTTAAATAATCCTTTCCAATTTATTTTTCTATGTGTACTTTGTTGTGGAATCCTAATCTACAAACCCCCACTATAATGGACTTCATGAACTGCAGGTATGTCACACCACCATAAACACAAAGAATCCAAGATACAGTCTGCACCTGTACACTGACACATCTTCCATAAATAGGAAACGTGTGATGCAAAATCTTGGAACAGAGGATCCACAGTTATCCGAACAATTAACTAGCATTGAAATAGAATGTTACACAACTTACAAATATACTGCTTTTTCTTCAGATATATTTAACTGCTAACTACTTATGTAAATAAGAGGCAAAGAATATATTCAAAGTTTAAAGCTTTTTGTCAATAAAATTACATATTGACATTATTGCTTCTTAAACAATGATAATCTTTGTTTTATTAGATCTGAGACCATATCCCTTAGGGAAATAACACTAATTCTGATCTATTTCCTTTTCTGAGATACTTACTAGTGTCATCAAAATTATATTAAAGTTGCTTAAAAACTTGGTAAAAGTCATAACAAAAGTTTAGGAAAACATACATGAAAATGTCCTGAAGCTTTCACCTCCTGCAATTAAACCAGTGTGCAATTAAATATGAATTTAAGCTTATTTTCCAAATAAGCATCAACAAACAACCTTGAACAATTTGTCCAAAACCAACATCTTAATAAACACTACTTTGGCTCAGTCTTCAAATATTGGTAACCTCCTCAAAAGCTGATGATTTCTAAGAAAGTATTACATGAAATCGGGGTTGAATATTATATGTTTCAATATCCATTCCAGTTACATGAACAGTCAACTTAGAATTCTGTAAGTTACTTGGTTCCATGACTGAATAATGCCTGGATGTGACCAAAACGTAGCCTTTGGGGTTTTTTCAAATTCTCTGGATGTTGAAATAACTTTATTATGAGTGATGATACTAGTGATCACTCTCTGAATAATCTTATTAGTAAACATATTATTTAAAGACCAAATATATCTTAAAACAAACTAGCTATCTTAGTACCAAGTGATTGTTCAGCCATGATATGTATATAGTGTTTGTTTGCCTAGTTCTGCCTTAAATTCACATGAATCTGATATGTGAGTCAATAAGTAATTATTAATAATTGATTGGAGTATTATCTATTTCATTACCTTTCCACGTTTCCTGAAGGAGGCAAGCTTCTTAAAACATACCTTGCTATCATTTCCAGTGAATAATAATTAAAATGACAGAACTATGTTATTACTCCTAAAATGTACCAATGAAACCCCCACCCCCCCCCCCCCCCACCCCACCCCACTCTACAAGTAAAAAATTATGCTGTGACAAAAAATCAAAACAAATAATGTTCTCATAGTTAGGAAATAAACTTATATTTCACTCTGTCCGATATTCCAGAAAGTCACTATTCTTCTCACATAGTTTTCGTCTCCGATTCACATGGAGTAAAGCTAAATCAATTCAAGGTCCCATCTCTTTATAGAAATTCTGAAATATTTAAGACATGGTTTTATAGACACTCATTTGAATTAATTTTGATGTTTGGATATTGCGTGATAGGCAACTGCTGACACTGACAATATTTCCGTTTGGATAAAAATATTAGATCTACTCTTCGAATATTTTGCACTATCAACAGATACTGCACTGTACATATGCCTTCAGATTGTGCTTTTGAAACTTTAAAACATCCTAAAATGTGTGACAAATTTAAGAATATCTAATCGCGAATGCAACCATATCCACCACATTGTTCTTTAATGTAACAAGTTTTGCTATTTCGGTCGACCCTAACCGAAATCAGCTCTCTGTCAGATTTGTTTACATTGTGTCACGGCTTTCTCGCCTGTCTCATTTCAGGTTTATGGTGTACCAACTCAATCCCCAGTAGTGACTACAAACGTGAAGCAAAAACAATTTTGTAGTTACAAGAATTGTACGAGTTTATAACACTTGCAAAATCCTAAACTGCTATTTGTTGTCATCTATTGGTAATGCTTTTGCTCATGTGCGAAAGTGTGTAAATTCGTGAAAAATTCTCACCTTCGAGCAGACGTAGGTTTCGTGAACGACGGTGCCGACATTTAACTGCTCGTTAGGCCTATCGCATTCCTTGATCCGCCTCAGTTTTTTTGTCTTGATCGTAATGGTTTTGTTAAAGGTACACATCAAATCACAGCAATATGTAATAGATATAGCGAGTGTAAATGGCATAATTCGAAGCACATCGCTTCGGAGGCATCGTTTGACCCCGGAAATAAGTCTGACAAATCCACACAGCGCGCCCGGCCTGCTGATTGGCCAAAATTGACGCATGCGCCAGTTTTGATTGACAGACTGGATCGGTCTATTGGTAACGTCATGTCGTAGTATTACGTCATTTTATAACGTTATGTCACAACGTAATAACAATGTTGCAAATTTACGTTGAGAAACGTTATGCTATGGGCTGCTCACAACGTTACATGTGTATAGCAACGTTTCTTATAACTTATGTAACGATAGTTTTCCGTGAAACATTTCACTTGGAGATTCTTTCTTCACTATTCAGCTACAGCTTCTGAAAACACATGCAAATTGACGAATTTGTTTCTTATGCTTTGTTTCTTATGGCGGTATTGTTCACTACTGAGAAAACTATTCAACTATTACCGTTAAATAGAACGCTAGGACAACGCTTAGCATCAAAACAGGTTAGCATCAATAACGTCAGGCCACAACGTTGTGACAACGTAAATAGGAGTCCACAGAATAAAATTGTGACAACGTGAAATTGTTAGATGGGTATATATATACTGGACAAAATAAGTTAGGGATATTGGTAGTTTTATGATTGATATTTTATAAGTGAGTCAGTTAATAAATAGATCAATATTCATCATTTCAAAATTGACATATATCCCTAACTATTTTTTACCAGTATATTATATTCGTTGCAATAAAACATTCAATCCTAACGGTGACAAAATCCAACTGAACGTCTTATGAACATCCCAATTCTCGTCTCTCTATTCATCAAGGAGGCTGCTCCCCATCGGCTCTGAGCGACGGGTTCACCTACGATGCCACTAGTGGACTCTGCTTCAAGATTCACAACAACAATGTGGACTGGACCCGAGCCAAGACTGACTGTACAGATGAAGGCTATCGACTGATTGTGCTGAATAATGCGCTGAAGGCGGATTTCATGGCCAACCTATTGGATTCAGATTCAGGTGAACTTTTAATTTTAAGACCTCAGAAAATATCCACCATTCAGAGAATGTTCAGTGGAAGCAATCTAAATCATCTTGATTCGGAAGTATCATGAGTAATTGGCAGTATATGGGTGTGGGTAGACGTACTGCTGCATACCTCATTTTGTGAGATTGTTTCAACAAAATTACATGACTCCACTCTTAAATTACCAAATACAAAAATCATTTTCCACATATCTGCACCCCGCTTGAGATGTGACCATCTTTCTCACAACGGCTTGACACGTTTTGGCTAATACTGAATATTTACCGAGCGCTTTGGAAAGAATTCATTTTGCACATTGATCTGGTCATATATTTACGCATGCCAGAGCTGTAACCAGTCCCGAATCCTTTGATGAGAATTCGAAACACGGACCTTCACGGGTATTCTTTTTGTTTGTTTTAGTAATTTTACGCCGTATTCAGTCTTATTTCATACGGTGCGTGTGATATAGTTATCCTTATAAACACACTGTGATAAAATAGAGTTATTCGTGGTTGCTAAAACATGGAATAACGTAATGTCCTGGCCGGCAGTCAAGTCGACGTCCATCAAGCCTTTTATCCCCCTGAAGACAACTACTGTGGTGTTGAGGATAGAGCCTCCGTCTGGAGAGCGACAGGTCGGTCGTTCGATTCCTTGGCTGCGTTATATCAAGACGTTTCAATGTGGTTACTGTTAGGGCTGCGCAATATAACCGGTATACCGGTATTTACCGGTTCAGACATGAAAACGATACGTATTGCGACACGCTGATCGAAAACCGGTATGTTGACTTGCATTCGGAAAACGTCGTAACACTCGGAAATCTTCGGATATTTTCTTGTTTCATTTGTGCCAAATATTATTCACATTTTTATTTTATCATGATTAAAATTTGTTATTGAAGCTTAACCAAGCACGGTGATTTTGTTGTGTTTTTGCTGTATAAATCAAGCAGTAACTCGATTATAAGTTGTTTTTTGTGTAAAAATAGTTCATGCAATATATTGCAATAACTATCGCAATATACGCTTTCGCATCGCAATATATCGCAATATGAAAATTCTCTACAATACCCACCACCCCTAGAACTTACTGTGCATGGCGCTAGACATTAACACGAGACAATGACTGATTGGCCCTGAGCAAGTGTAATGTGTCTCAGTGTTCAATGTTACCAGCGCTTTAAGCTGTGGGCTAACCATAAAACAAGGGGCATTGATATGACGTTATATTTTAGTGCAGATTGTCTGGCATATGTGTTGGGTTCACGTGTTATTGTTGAAAAACTGGGATGGGGATAGGGGTGCCTTGGGTGAGACAGTTGAAACACCGGACCAGGGGTAGTTTCTGGTGTTATAACTGAAACACAGGAGAACATGGGGTCTTCAGATGTTACAACTGAAACACAGGGGAATAAATGGGAGGTTTCAGATGTTATAACTGTACTACAGGGGAATAAATGGAACGTTTCAGATGTTACAACTGAAACACATGGGAATATATGGGAGGTTTCAGGTGTTACAACTGAAACACAGGGGAATAAATGGGAGGTTTCAGATGTTACATCTGAAACACAGGGGAATAAATGGAGAGAGGTTTCAGGTGTTACAACTGAAACAGGGGAATATATGGGAGGTTTCAGGTGTTACAACTGAAACACAGGGGGGGAATAAATGGGAGGTTTCAGATGTTACAACTGAAACACTGGGGAATAAATGGGAGGTTTCAGATGTTATAACTGAAACACAGGGGAATATATGGGAGGTTTCAGGTGTTACAACTGAAACACAGGGGAATATATGGGAGGTTTCAGGTGTTACAACTGAAACACAGGGGAATAAATGGGAGGTTTCAGATGTTACAACTGAAACACTGGGGAATAAATGAGAGGTTTCAAATGTTACAACTGAAACACAGGGGAATATATGGGAGGTTTCAGGTGTTACAACTGAAACACAGGGGAATAAATGGGAGGTTTCAGATGTTACAACTGAAACACAGGGGAATATATGGGAGGTTTCAGGTGTTATAATTGAAACACAGGGGAATATATGGGAGGTTTCAGGTGTTACAACTGAAACACAGGGGAATAAATGGGAGGTTTCAGATGTTACAACTGAAACACAGGGGAATATATGGGAGGTTTCAGATGTTACAACTGAAACACAGGGGAATAAATGGGAGGTTTCAAATGTTACAACTGAAACACAGGGGAATAAATGGGAGGTTTCAGGTGTTACAACTGAAACACAGGGGAATAAATGGGAGGTTTCAGATGTTATAACTGAAACACAGGGGAATAAATGGGATCAGATGTTACAACTGAAACACAGGGGAATATGGGAGGAGGTTTCAGGTGTTACAACTGAAACACAGGGGAATAATGGGAGGTTTCAGATGTTACAACTGAAACACACAGGGGAATATATGGGAGGTTTCAGGTGTTACAACTGAAACACAGGGGAATAAATGGGAGGTTTCAGATGTTACAACAACTGAAAACACATGGGAATATATGGGAGGTTTCAGGTGTTACAACAACTGAAACACAGGGGAATAAATGGGAGGTTTCAGGTGTTATAACTGAAACACAGGGGAATATATGGGAGGTTTCAGGTGTTACAACTGAAACACAGGGGAATATATGGAGGAGGTACCGCCCTGTTACAACTGAAACACAGGGGAATAAATGTTTCAGATGTTATAACTGAAACACAGGGGAATATATGGGAGGTTTCAGGTGTTACAACTGAAACACAGGGGTTACAAATAAATGAGAGGTTTCAGGTGTTATAATTGAAACTGAAATATATGGGAGGAACTACAACTGAAACACAGGGGAATATGGGAGGTTTCAGTGTGTTACAACAGGGGAATACATGGGAGGTTTCAGGTGAAACACAGGGGAATATATGGGAGGTTTCAGGGTTATAATGAAACAGGGGAATATATGGGAGGTTTCAGGTGTTACAACTGAAACACAGGGGAATAAATGGGAGGTTTCAGATGTTACAACTGAACTGAAACACAGGGGAATATATGGGAGGTTTCAGGTGTTACAACTGAAACACAGGGGAATAAATGGGAGGTTTCAGATGTTACAACTGAAACACAGGGGAATATATGGGAGGTTTCAGGTGTTACAACTGAAACACAGGGGAATATATGGGAGGTTTCAGGTGTTACAACTGAACACAGGGGAATATATGGGAGGTTTCAGGTGTTACAACTGAAACAGGGGCATATATGGGAGGTTTCAGATGTTACAACTGAAACACAGGGGGAAGAAAGGCTATCAGATGTTACAACTGAAAGACAGGTTAGAAATTAGTCTTTCTGGTGTAACGTCTGAAGCACAGCGGAACAGGTTAGTTATTTAAGTACTAAGGTTAACCCTGGTTTGTACTCGTCTTCTTGCTTCAGACTACACCAATGATGGTTACTGGATGGGGCTGTCACAAGTTAACGACTGGGAAGATGGCACACCTCTGACATACAACAACTGGTTCGATTTGTTCCAGATACTCAACACTGGTAAATGTGGCCTGCTCTACCGGGTCAACAACTATAAGTGGAAGTCCGAGCACTGCAACTCTGCCAGAGGCTTTATCTGTGAGGCGGCCTAGAGAGGCAAACGTGGTAGGGTGCAGTCTAGATAAACCAGACACCTACTGAAGTTGACTACCCATAGAACTTGGTTTCCTTCATCTTTACAACTTCTAAAATGCCATTCAAAGAACTTGTTTGTTTTGTAAGATGGCGGCAGTTGCAAAACGCCTCAACTTCATGATTATGAACTGTTGTGCTGAAAGACTGACTACAGAGGGAAATCCTGTCTAGTTCCAGAAAGCCTTCCGAATTGTCTTGAAACGGAAGTTCTGATATAAATGACATGGGAAGGATTTGACGTTTGGGAAATAAGTGCGTGCGTGCGTGCGTGCGTCTTATTAGCATGCAACGGGGTGTACAGTAAACCCCATTTCAAGCCTGTTTCAAACAATGTCAATCTGCGTTTTCTGAAAATACACTGAGGGATTCCGCGTGACCGTTTTTGGATTGATCCGTTAATTTTTTCTGAAGCCTTTAGACTGACTGACTGACAGAGTTTGGTTTTACGCCGCTTTTAGCAATATTCCAGCAACATCACGGCGGGGGACACCAGAAATGGGCTTCACATATTTTACCCATTTGGGGATTCGAACCCGGGTCTTCGGCGTGACGAGCCAACGCTTTAACCACTAAGCTACCCCACCGCCCCCTTAAGCCTTTAGACAGTTTGATAGCTATAGTACTAGGAGAAAAAGACAACCGCCACTGACATGTGGATGCATCGACATTCTATATTACCTCGTCACATCAGCAAAAACCATCATATCATCGCTAGATTTGACAGTTAATGAAGAAATATTGACCGTTTTAGTTCTGCTTGGGGATGAACATCTCCATCCAGACGTTTCCGAGAAAAGGTAATGAATATCAAAACTGACCACTATATACCAAGTACCAACCAAAAAACATTTCATGACATTTCATTTCAAATGACGGGAGACCTATATAATTCAGTTACACACGATTCATATCACACGATATAATCACCCGGGGGTTTTTTCAACCCTCTTCTCTCAGCTAATTACAAATGTGTCAAATGGTACCTTGTATGATCGATGTGGTGTTCACTTTTCACCGACTCATATAATTGTGTCAACATGTTTTGGAAGATTTGCCACCAAGACTCTGAATGATGTTTCGGAATTTTACTTCGATTTTACACCGATTTTAGGGAGACAGGTATTACATTACACCGCTTTGAGCAATATTCTACCAATTCCCAGATAGGGACACAGAACATTTCCATCCCTGAAGATCCGGATTAGAATTGGTCTTCAGCAAACTATGCTTGTCGTAGGAGGCGACTGACGGAATCGGACCGTCAGGCTCGCTGACTTGGTTGCTGTACTGTATATATCAATTGCCAATATCCCAATTTCGTAGATTGATGCTGATGATGCGACTCCCAGCCGACCAGTCCTTGTTGTACCCATTAGTGCCGAGCGTCAGGCAGGGACCAACAAGTACCATATTTTAAGGTCTTTTGGTATGACGCGATCGGGGATCGAACCCGCAGCCTTCCGCTCTCCGGGCGGACGCTCTAACCACTACACCACGGAGGCGGTCCTTGATGCTGATGATGTCAGTGGGTGTACTGTCTAGTGCAGACTCGATTATTTACATACCATTGTCATATCGCTGGAATATTGCCGAGTGCGGCGTTACAAAACATAAAGTTTCAGGTATTTTCAATTTGATGTGCTTCTTCTCATGATTAATTCGACTCTCTAAACCCGCAGACAAACACACGACTAATGATATATTTCAAATACGTTTATTTGACATATATCCTGAGATGTAGAAACAATCATCAATAAACAAACGGTCAGGCTGATTGTATAATATTGTAATACCAGCAGGTAAATCAGAAGCTTTATTAACGAATTTATTTTTAAATACTTCCTTGTGGATTTTATTATAACGGGAGAGAATCAGTCTAAGTCATGACCTCGTCAGTAAGGACAAACGATTAAAATCCTGGGAATTTGTTCAGGATGTTTGTTCGATCCAACAGCGACATGTCCATCTGTTGTACACACGCGGCGATAAAAGAAAATGACGTCATCGAACACCTGGATGACCTCATTTCACAGTACCCCTACTATGCGTTTGGGTTCAAGAGTAAATTGATAAATAGCATATCCTTTATTGCATTTTTTTCTTTTACTGGGAATGTTCCGTTAACATTAATAACATTATTTTTTCCCACGGTCAGCTCAGTACAAGATCATTGACCCCTGTGAAATGAGGTCAGCCAGGTGTTCAATTAGGTCACCAAACTTTGGGACTATACCCGCTCTGTTTTTCAAAGGTCATTGACCCTGTGAAATGAGGTCAGCCAGGTGTTCGATGACGTCATTTTCTTTTATTCCCGCCTGTGTACAACATCCATCACTGTCAATATGTACAGGATGCACGATTCCCTTTCCATACACATTAATTGCTTAAACACAAAGCATGCTTTATCTACAATTGCTTCGGAATGTTTGTTCTGTATGAATAATACACAAAAACTCCTGCTAACCTCCGACAAAATATATTTTCAGCTCCAGATTAAGCAGATTTCATTCTTTTTCTTGCTAGTTTTTTCCCATCGCGGGCTCTGTGATCGAAATATACCTATTCATCATCAGAAGATAAAATGATCGTCTTTCAAACCATGTTGAAACATTGAAACTAGCATATTTGGTTTGGGCCAAATAGAAAATAGGCAATATAATATTGAATGTCTCCAGAAAATACAGGCAAAAGACACGGTGCCAAGAGAACGACTTGTATACGACTACCTCCAAAACCAAGCTTAAAACAAAACAAATGGCACACATTACAGTCGCGTGGAATTGAATTGTGACAAAAAAGAGTTTTGTAACAATGACGTTGTTGAAGTCCCCACTTCAAATAAATACACCTTGTTGTGATAATGACTTCAAGTCACGTGTTTATTAGGTGAGTTCGTCACTTGTTGGTACACAGATCTGTTTTCAAGAACTCAAATCGAACGTCATCTTGCAAGTATAAATAATACTGGCGTTTTTCCTAATCACACAAAACAAAACATCAGGCTGTTCCCTTTGCCAGCACAACACTGTGAGACAGTCACCCACCCGCGCGTCGTCATGGTGGCACACGGATAATTCCTTTATGTTGAGTTCGGACAACGTTTCTCTTAGATAGGGGAAGCGTTTCTGCCTACAGGCGAAGTCAACACACTCAAAACAATATCTCATAAATGCGTCTTTGTATAGAAACTTGTTCATGTCTGTTTCACTCTCCAACACTGTCACTGGCAAACAAAATGGCGGCGGTGACATCGGCACTTCCGGACAAGTCCAACTTCCGGTTAGTGCTTGTTTGGCAGAGACTACGTCAGCCAGGACACCTTTAAAGTTCGCATACCTGTCAACGAACCAATACGGTAATAGTTTCTGTCGTCTGCTCCTGACGTCAACAAGAATATTTTCACTGAAACATCTAACAATAGATTTGCCATTCAGCATGTTAATAAGCATCTGGGTGGTGCGCACATATGGTTGTTTGACTTGGTACAGTCTAGTGAGAACTTTGTACGGGAAGTAAGACAGCTTGTTGATGTCATACAGCTGTGACCAGTCAAATATGTAGTGAGTCGAGAATGACATGAACTTGCTCCCTTCGTTCATTAGTTCCATGGCTTGGCAGAAGTCATTATAAATGGAATGGCCGTTTCCGTCCTCTATCAGTCTGCACAACGTCAGAGGGGTGATTGGACCTGCAGAAATTGGAATGCTTCTTAGTAATAACACATTTGTTTTTGTTAGCGTTTTATCGCTTGTTGTTTTACGACACACACAGAACTATACCTGCTATATGACCGCGACCTGTAAATACTCAAACAAGCAATGTCGACCGATTGCACATCCATCAACGGAAAGACAAATTTTGACATAATAATATATGTGCATTTTATATTACGCTAAACTCCATTCACTAGGCGAATGCTCATAGCGCTAACAATCAAAACACAGCACATTATTACCCCGGATAACCCTAACTGCCTGTGAGGGTCTAGAAGGTTAATATTCACTAGACTTAGCAAAGCGGTACCAATTTTCTGCTGAGTGAACAGAAGCAATTTTGAACAAGTTCACTGACATTCACAAACTCAATTCATTTCGGAACATAACCCCCAATGCAGTTGAATATGTGCTTGGATTTCTGCAGCATAAATATGTTCTTTGAAAATTTATAACATAATTCAAAAGGAAACTGTTTACTTCCGCAATTCAAGCCGTTAGATAGCGAGAAATTGAATGGAAACTAATGCCCTTATGACTGTTACGTCGTGAAAGACCTGGCACGCACCTGAGGAGGCTCGGTGGTGTTTGTAAGGTATGCATGGCGTCACGTCCTCTTCATTGTCCAAGTGTTGAGGATTGAACGTGATCCCGAAGGCAACGTTTTCAGTCATCAGAATCTACAACAGAAATGTTACAGCATCTTAGTCGTCAGAATCTACAACAGAAATGTTACAGCATCTTAGTGATCAGAATCTACAACAGAAATGTTACAGCATCTTAGTCATCAGAATCTACAACAGAAATGTTACAGCATCTTAGTCATCAGAATCTACAACAGAAATGTTACAGCATCTTAGTCATCAGAATCTACAACAGAAATGTTACAGCATCTTAGTCGTCAGAATCTACAACAGAAATGTTACAGCATCTTAGTCATCAGAATCTACAACAGAAATGTTACAGCATCTTAGTCGTCAGAATCTACAACAGAAATGTTACAGCATCTCAGTCGTCAGAATGTGTAGCCGAAATGTTACAGCATCTATATCAGAATCTACAACAGAAATGTGCGGCCGAAATGTTACAGTATCTTAGTCATCAGAATCTACAACAGAAATGTTACAGCATCTTAGTCGTCAGAATCTACAACAGAAATGTTACAGTATCTCAGTCATCAGAATGTGTAGCCGAAATGTTACAGCATCTTAGTCATCAGAATCTACAACAGAAATGTTACAGCATCTCAGTCATCAGAATCTACAACAGAAATGTTACAGCATCTTAGTCATCAGAATCTACAACAGAAATGTTACAGCATCTTAGTCATCAGAATCTACAACAGAAATGTTACAGCATCTTAGTCATCAGAATGTGTAGCCGAAATGTTACAGCATCTTAGTGATCAGAATCTACAACAGAAATGTTACAGCATCTTAGTCATCAGAATCTACAACAGATATGTTACAGCATCTAAGTCATCAGAAATGTACAACAGAAATGTTACAGCATCTTAGTCATCAGAATCTACAGCCAACAGAAATGTTACAGCATCTTAGTCATCAGAAATACAGCATCTAGTCGTAAGAATCACATCAGAAATGTTACAGCATCTTAGTCATCAGAATCTACAACAGAAATGTTACAGTATCTTAGTCATCAGAATGTGTAGCCAATATGTTACAGCATCTTAGTCATCAGAATCTACAACAGAAATGTTACAGCATCTTAGTCATCAGAATCTACAACAGAAATGTTACAGCATCTTAGTCATCAGAATCTACAACAGAAATGTTACAGCATCTTAGTCATCAGAATGTACAACAGAAATGTTACAGCATCTCAGTCATCAGAATGTGTAGCCGAAATGTTACAGTATCTCAGTCATCAGAATGTGCAGCCGAAATGTTACAGCATCTTCGATCATCTCAGAAATGTTAGCCAATATGTGTCCAGCGAAATCTTAGTATCTTAGTAATCAGAATGTGTAGCCGAACTGTTCCAGTATCTCAGTCATCAGAATGTGCAACCGAAATGTTACAGTATCTCAGTCATCAGAATGTGTAGCCAAAATGTTACAGCATCTTAGTCATCAGAATGTGTAGCCGAAATGTTACAGTATCTTCAGTCATCAGAATGTGTAGCCGAAATGTTACAGTATATCAGTCATCAGAATGTGTAGCCGAACTGTTACAGTATCTCAGCCATTGAGGGTCTGCAGCAGAAACGTTACAGTATCTCAGCCATTAAGGGTCTGCAGCAGAAACGTGACAGTATCTCAGCCATTGAGGGTCTGCAGCAGAAACGTGACATTATCTCAGCCACTGAGGGTCTGCAGCAGGAATGTTACAGTATCTCAGCCATTGAGGGTCTGCAGCAGGAATGTTACAGTATCTCAGCCATTGAGGGTCTGCAGCAGGAATGTTACAGTATCTCAGCCATTAAGGGTCTGCAGCAGAAACGTTACAGTATCTCAGCCATTAGAATCTGCAAAAGAAATGTTAATGGTACCTAAGCACAATCACTCTGTTGTTTCAATGGGTCTACATGAAGGGGCGTGTGACCAGATAACCCTCCAGTGATACCATGAACAATGCATTTGTATGGGGATTCGAATTCGACCTCCGACACAAGCCAGTATGTTCTCCATTGCGCTGTGTCAATTTCAACTTCAACTTCAACTCCTGTCACAGTGCCCTGACACAAACTGGACGGGTATTGTTTGATTTACGATTGTCTGTTGTATACGCCAGGCACTGGGAAATATATAACAGCTTTACGGTAGTTTGTAAATGCCAGGGTCGTGTAACGCAAAAACTAGCATCAAGGCGTATATTGCCATTGCCCGGGTTCTGCCACTTTCTTACACACCCATTCAGGCTTACGATAGCAATAAAGCCGTGAAATAAGGCGAGGTTGGGCGAAATCTGTATTGCATTCCCATTTCCGTATTGCACGTCTGCCGGATCTTGAACTTGTCCTTGACCTTCACTTATTTGCAAAAACATTTGAAAGACGGGGTAATCCTGAAAGAGTATATCAGCTGAAATCGATGAAACATTGTAGTTATTAAATGGAAAATTGTTTGGGTTTTTTTTCAAATATTATGTGTTTTCGTTTCTTTCGTTATCAGAACCTGACACTTGATTGATGACGTCAGACGGTGGAATACGATTTCACGTAGGCCTATATATATATGTGACATTTCCATTGCGCGGAGAGATACTCTGGTCACAGTAACCTCAATGAGGAAGTTTCAGTAGTGACGTTTATAGTTTGAGTTTAACAGTCTGTGTCATGAAATGGGCATGTAATCATTATAGAACGTCATACCAGTGCATTTGGACCGCATATATTGAGTGAGTGAGTTATGATTTTATTCAATATTCCAGCAATATCACGGCGGGGGGACACAGAAATGGGCTTCACACATTGCACCCATATGGGGAATCGAACCCGGCTCTTCGGCGTGTCGAGCGAAGGCTTTAACCACTAGGATACCACACAGTCCCCCTATTGGTAACAAACATGGCTGCTGCATTAAGTAGTGATCACAGAATTAGGTTTAGAAGTTGTCTTCAGCAACCACGCTAATCGTAAGAAGCCACTAACTGAATTGGATAGTCAGGCTCGCTGCTTTGGTCGATACATACCATCGTATCTATTAAAGTACTTCGATGCTCATGAAGTCATGAAGTGATTCAGCTATTCAACAAACACAAACCTTTCTTTTTACAGAACAGTACACATCCGTGATTACACGCATTTATTTAAATCATTATCAGCTTCCATTATTACATAGGTGCGTCTCCTATTCTCGCGGGTTTCCTATTCTCGCGGTAAACACGTTTTCTGCCGAAATCGCCGATGCGCGACACTTAGCGGTTGTTTACATCACTAGGAAGTGGCCCAAGTCTGTGCGTGATTAAAATCTTGCAGTGTCACGAATATTGGGGAGTTTATACCAACTTTGACATATCATTACTTTTTCCCGCCCTTTCCGGCAGGATTGCTCTTACATACACTCAATAATGTTAATTCCTGGTAATACCGCGAGAATGGGAGAAGCCTGGTTTCGTCAATGGCGGATGGCATTGTTTATCACCGGGCTCACGAGTGGTAATTCACCTGATGGATCTGGCAGCTGATAGATGTAGATGTTAGAGGAGAAGGCCTTTCATTTAAAAACAACATGCATTAATACGATAAGAATTGTTTGTGTTATTTTTTCAGCCGATATCCGTAAGTACCGCGAGAATAGGAAACGCCTTCCTACCCTCATTTTACTTTTCATGAATGTTAATAGTACTTACATACAATGAGTGCCAAATTTCCTTCAAAAGGTATTAATTGCAGCTCTAATTAAAGCATATTGCTAAACGCATGTTAGAATTCCAAATACGATGTGGGGCGGTGGGGTAGCCTAGTGGTTTAAGCGTTCGTTCGTCATGCCCGGGTTCGGTTCCATGGGTACAACGTGTCAAGCCCATTTCTGTGTCCCCCGCCGTTATACTACTGGAATATTGCTAAAAGCGGCGGAAAACCATACTCACTCACTCACTCAAATACGGTGTCAATGCGGTGTGGAACAGATTGGTGAACCATTCTTGGTGTAAATTGAGCTACACAAACACACAAAAATATGACGAAATTCGAAAATGCGGTCAAGGGGAGGCTACTCTAAGTTAACTCCAATATAACACGTTCTCAGACACCAGTCATGTTCATCACAACAGTAAACAACATCACATATTTACTGTACAAAACGCTATCTCTGTTCGTTAAAGAAAGGCGAGATCAATGTAGAAAAGTGTTACTATTTATTCAAAGCCTTTATCTCATGTCTTATCTACATCGAATTAATCTTACTGTTTTCCCCGACAAGACATCAGTGCGTGTCGTCTCGCACGTAAACAAACGTACCTGACTCCTATCAGGGAGGAAAGCGAGGGAGCAAGGTTTGGTTGGCGGGTAGGTTATCAATGATCGCCACGTATATCTGAATTTTCCATTTCCCTTTTGGACAAAAGCTATTGAATATCATAGCATAATATTGTTCATAAACAGTCTTTTTAAGTCATTCATTTATTTTATTTATATTCATTTATTAAATTTTCATTGTCTGTCGAACAAAGGTCTGTGTCCTGCCTCTTACTTTTGGTGAACACAATAAAATTTTCATGAACACTTTTATGGGATAGTAACAGTACTAGTATTGAAATAATAAAATTGGTTTAGAAAGACTACATAAAATGCTGCACGTTGGACAGCTTAATCAACAGTGAACAAACATCCGAGAAACATGCTTGGCATTAAACCATATAATATATTTGAATTTCTTAAACATAATCCGATCAAGTCAAATTACATCATTGTAAACATTGGGCGAAATCCGAGGCTCTTGTTTGGTGATTCCTCTCAATGGTCACATATATAATACGATCTGATTATATGTCACACAGTCATAATACATGTATATTGAATACATTTGTAATACAACTTAATGACATCAAAATTCAACGGGTGTTACATTCATAAAATTGGCATTCTTACCTGCTCTGTATATGTCCAGTAATTCAACTGATCAATGTGCTGCGCTGTGAAGAGATTAACAACAGTCGCACCAGCGCGTGATGACCGTTTTCATCACACAAATCTCCGCCTTCTTATCTGGACCATATTGAAATTCCGGGTTGAAGTTCAAGGCCGGTTGTACGATGTGCCGACTATCATGTACACTTGACCACCTCGGGTGTTTTCGTTCATTTCCGTCAATAACGGAAACCTTACGTAACAAATCGATGTTTGAGTCTTAATTGTTTTTCAGTCTTCGTTTCGAATATTTGTAGGACTGTGAATGTATACAGTCCCGAAATGCGTTAACGGAAATTTTTTAGGAGTGTGTCTTGATAAATGTTAGTTTTCTTTGGTGATTTTTCAAATAGCGAGGCACTAATAGTTCCAAATGCCGACATGGCGTAGCCTTTGTTTGCTGTGTGCGTGTGTACGTATGTATGCTATGATGACTCTGTTGTTTTACCGTCCTTAATGTCAGTGGAATCTTCCTGCAAGATCAAGACAAATCTTGTCAGAGTTATTGTATTGCAGAGGTGCCAAAGTATTGTATGACCGCTTCTCTAGGTAACGTCATCAAAGGGACTGAACTCTGTCGACACTGGGCACACGTTTACCAGTTGGTGTCAGCTGCGTTGTTGAAACGGAATACAATGCTGTTGTTTCAGGACAAAACACTACAAGACTTTATATTTACACCTATGCGTACACCATTTTTCGAATATATGTTTTGAAGTGTATTCAACACAAATGATATTGTTACCTTTGAGTAAAGATAGTAATGAAAAAAAACAATACTTTCAAAAAAACGTACTTGGCTAATGGAAGATTATCGATTTATTCGGGGAACAATCTAAATGTCAACTTGCTTCGTGAATTTCATGGAACGTTGGTAAAAAGATTTTCAGAACATTTTCAATCAAAACTTCCTGTCATACTACAATTATGTAGATATTAACCTTTGGCGAACAACAGTTCCGAAGATAATACATGTATATTCAAACAACGCTTCTTGAGATAAAAATTTTAAACACTGCTTCTGGGGAGATTTTTTAATGAACACATCTTCAGTTAAGTATCTTTCGACAACGCTTCTTTTTCAAAGCAGCAGTTACTGTAGATACTGTTTTCAAACAACATTTCTGGTGATGACCTTTACAAACAACACTTCAGAAACAACCCTTCCATTGATAACATATTCAAACCCTATTTCCATAGATAACAATTAACGTTTGTTGTTACATGGCGGTGGTCTGTAAGTAATCGAGTCTGTACTAGACAATCCAGTGAGCAACAGCATGAGCATCGATCTACGCAAACTGAATCCCATGTGACAACAAAGTCAGCAAGTCTAACCACCCGATCCCATCAGTCGCCTCTTACGACAAGCACAGGTTGCTGAAGACCAATTCTAACCCGGGATCCCACAGATTTAACAGTTAAAGTTAAGATTCAAACTTTGCAGGACTCTTATTCGTCTTGCCCGAGGAGACCGCCTCCGTGGTGTAGTGGTTAGAGCGTCTGCCTGGAGAGCGGAAGGTCGCGGGTTCGATCCCCGACCGCGTCATACCAAAACACCTTAAAATATGGTACTTGTTGGTCCCTGACTGGCACTCGGCATTAATGGGTACAACAAGGACTGGTCGGCTCGGAGTCAGTATAATGTGTCTGAGTGGGGTATTCATGCTTCACTGCGGCATGGTATCTCAGTGGGCTAGCACTATAAAACCAGCTTAAGTCTGGGCTTGTACAAGCAGCCGCACATACACATACACACGCATGCACGTCGTCATATGAGCGAGATATTCTCAAGCACGACGTTAAACCCAATTTCACCTCACCTCACCTTGCCCGAGGAAAGTGAACTCATAAATAACTGCCAATAGATGCGAAGAGGTATTTACATTAAAGGTATTTACAATATATATACCATTGTAGAGGAGGATAAGACATCTGTGCGTCCTGACTCCATCTTGTTTTTTGGTGTTGACTGTAGTTAACCAGGATGATTATTTAATAGTATTTCAACAACGGAAAGGCTTGCCGGAATGACACGAGTAGTTACGAATGATTTCGTCAAGGGTGGAAACTTCTATGGCCAGTTAATAGGGCTGCGCAATATAACCGGTTTACCGGTATATACCGGTTCAGACATGAAAACGATACGTATTGCGATACGTAGATCGAAAACCGGTATTTTGACATGCAGTCGGAAAACTTGGTAACACTCGAAAATCTTCGGATATTTCCGTCTTTTACACCGGAAGCCATGCGTGTGTTGTAAAATGGTGACCCCCAACAACGAACAATTTATTGTGGTGCCAAATACTAGGGCAAAGGCATCGGTAAGGCAGCATTTTGGGTTGAAAAAGTTCACGGTAGATGGAACTATTGGTAAGAGTAACGCGGTATGTAAAATATGCAATGGTAAAGTAGTTTTTTATTAAAACTTAATCAGGCATAGTGATTTTGTTGTGTTTTTGCTTTATAAATCAAGCATTAACGTCCTGCAATATATTGCAATACATATCGCAATACATGCTTTCGCATCGCAATATATCGCTATATGAAAATTCTTTGCAATACCCACCCCTACCAGTTAACGTCCTTGCAACGGTAATATGCTCTTCGTCATACATGCCGTAGACGTTTATATAATGTGTCCATTTATATAGCGCCAAACTCCACACTAGGTATGCTCATAGCGCTAACAATCAAGGCCATTATTACCCCGGATAACCCAAGCTGCCTGTTAGGCGCTAGAAGGTTATAGTCGTATGACTTTTTTTCCACCGGGTACCCATTTTCCTGCTGGGTGAACAGAGACAATTTTGAACAAACTCACTTGCCTAAGGTGAGACCACATGTGTCACATGTGCTTTGTTGTGGGGCAGGACTCAAGTCCTAGAAACTCTCAGGAGTCAAGCTGCCAAACACGGTCACCCATCCAAGGACTCTCCGAGCTCGACGCTGCTTAACTTCACCGATTTGTGACCTGAGCTTTAAGCACAGGACCACGCGCACACCATCACTATATACGAGCGTGTGTATGATGCTGTAAATCAAACATGACATTTTGAGGTCGAGGATTCTCCAAAAGGACACAACTGTCCTTAGAAAAATGATCCACCCGAGTGATAAATGAAATATTGAGTTTTGATGTTTTGGAGAGCGTTTTTTCATCGTGAGTAATTTTCAACGTATTTCTATGGTTCGAACCAGCATCGGATCACAGGATCCTGCACGTCTATGGACTGTATGTCACTTAGACAACAGGGCCTAGATTTTCGAAGCTCTCTTAGCGCTGAGATAGTCGTAACTTAATGTTAATGAATGGCACTTACGACTATTCTAGCAGTAAGAGAGCTTCGAAAATATAAGGACGTTATTTAATTTTATATACGCACGTTTATATACCATTTTTATACTCACCAGCCCGAGTTTGCTGCTGTCAGACCAAGGATCACCATCGACCCTGAGTGCTCCCCCGCTGACAATTGCGTGAATTTTTTCAGCTTACAGTGCACATATCAGGAATTGTATATGTAAACGTACCGTAGTTTTTCCAATAGACGCCTGAAGATTAACCGGGTACAAAACCACACAACAAGCGCAAGGTATCTAATAGGCACCGAGTATGTTGGGTTTATGTTCTTCTCCCTGGTATAAATACAAGTTTGAAAACTTCAATTCCGGTCTTCAGCACCACGTGCGAAGAGTCGAGGGACACGACATTGCTGGGCGTTCGTATATAAATGAAGTTCATATATATGGACAAGTACGGTTTACTGTTTCAATCCCGAGATCAGTTTATGTGTGTCTAACTTCAGCAGCACCGTGGTGGCAATGTAAGCATCGGTTTCTACTTACCATTGCGTCATCACTGATCTTCATTTAACTCTTTATAGATCTTTAAAGTAACTATGGTATATTCTTGGTAGTCATTTTTTCTACACGCATACGGCATATTTCTGGATTTGTGATTGGATCTATTCAAAAACTACTGATGAAAATATTGTGTTGTGAAAGCTCGTTAATAACGCTCCTTTTAATAGAAACAGAACATGCTGACCCTATTCTGTTGGTACGTATGCACCTGACAGAAGTGACGTATCAGCTACTTTTCCCAATCCATTACAATTAGAAAAAGAATGACGGAGGAATTTAAAGGTACAGTGATGTGAAATGATTATTTCAAAATTATTGTACATAAATATCGAATACATGCCCCTGCGTGAGTGCGTGCGTTTTACAGCGCTTACCAAATGAGATATCATGCCACAGTTTAATGTGGATACTCCTACAACACAGTATTCTGTCTCCGAGTCGATCAATCCTTGTTTTATGCGCTTAGTGAGGGGTAGGATAGCCTAGTGGTTAAAGCGTTTTCCCGTCACGCCGAAAACCTGGGTTCGATTCTCCACATGGGTGCAGTCTGTGATGCCCATTTCTGGTGTCCCCCGTCTTGATATTGCTGGAATAATACTTAAAGTGGCTTAACAGCACTCACTCACTCATTCACTCACTAACTGGGCAGGTGAGCAATGTATGTGGGTGTTACGAACAGGGATCGAACTGCCGACTTTTCGCTCTGCGAGCAAACTCTGTATCCAAGACTACGAAGGCGGCCTGAAGGTAGTGGCGGTAGGTTAATGCCTACTTTCAACCTGTTTTCGTTGATTGAAATTGGTCGTGGACCAAATAGTACTGTATCTTCAGAAGCTTTTGCTCACATCTATAACAGGTCGTGATAAAACTGATATACTGAAGCGAAAGTATTCCTGATTTCCTTTTAATAGAAACAGAACATACTGACCCTTTTCTGTTGGTACGTATGCACCTGACAGAAGTGACGTATCAGCTACTTTTCCCAATCCATTTACAATTAGAAAAACAATGACGGAGGAATTTAAAGGTACAGTGATGTGAAATGATTATTTCAAAATTATTGTACATAAATATCGAATACATGCCCCTGCGTGAGTGCGTGCGTTTTACAGCGCTTACCAAATGAGATATCATGCCACAGTTTAATGTGGATGCTCCTACAACACAGTATTTTGTCTCCGAGTCGATCAATCC